CTACCTTGCTTTATTGCTGCCTTTAAGGCTGCAATTACTAAGAGCAATATCCAAGGAGGCTTCCGAGGTGCTGGCTTAGTTCCTCTTGACCCAGAAGTAGTGATATCAAAGCTTGATGTCAAGTTGTGCACACCTTCACCTTCTATTGTCAACGAGGACTCCTGGCAGTCACAAACACCAAGCAATCTCCTAGAATTTGGGTCCCAATCGATGCTTGTAAAGGAGAAGATTCAGAGATACCTAGATAGCTCACCAACTGGCATGGTTGAGGCCTTTGAAAGGTTGGCGAAAGGCATGGTATTGGTAGTGCACAAGCTGGTATTGGCACAAAAAGAGATCGCTGAGCTTCAAGCGGCAAATGAAGCCACCACACGATGTAAATCATATAAAAGAAAGTGTGTACAGTGTGAAGGGGTACTAACAGCTGAAGAGGGCCTGCAGCTAGCTACCCTTAAGGAGTTTGCAGAGCGTGGTGATGAGAAGAAGGCAAAGAAGAGGGCATGCGCTGATAAGGGTGAGCCTACTCAATGACGCTGTGGACACTGCGATGAGACTGGGCACGACTTGTGCACATGTAGGAAAGAAGTAGAAGTAGATTCTGAATAGATTGGCTAATTACGATTTTTGAAGATTGTTCATGGTTGTATTATACTGTCATAAACAGTATGGATTTTGGTAGGGTCTTGGCAAAAGTGGACGGCTCGCCCGTGTGGACGGCTCGCCCGTGTGGACGGCTCGCCCGTGTGGACGGCTCGCCCGTGAGGTACGTTACCAGAATCCAGGAAAAAGTTGTAAAATGGAAAAAAAGGAGAGAAGCTTGCCCCATGGGGTTAAAATCTAGTCCGCCTTGGTAGTGTCTATGGATCTAGGGGTAACAAAGTCCAGACAGAAAAAATAAAAAAGAAAAAAATAAGGAAAAGGAGATTGAAAGACAGATAAAACCATAGGATCGAAAATCCGGCCTATCCAGGGCGAACCCCCACCGTTTAGGATTGTCCCCGGCCGGAATATTGACCGTGGTGTGCTAGATACATACTAAGAGAGATGCTAGATTAAGTCGAGGATGTCATTCGTCATGGTTTTTTTAGCATTTCGCGAGGGCCCTTGGGCCTCTTGCGGTCTTTGTCGACCTTCAGGTTTTTACTGCTGCTGGCTTGAGGCTTCTTGCGGTCTTTGTCGTCATTCTTAGTACTAGATTCAAGCTTCTTGCGGTCTCCGTCACTCTTCTTATTACTAGCTTCGGGCTCGTCCTTTGCAGTATGCGTCCGTGAATCGTCCTTAGTTGGACGCATAATGATTTTGAAATTACCTGGCGCAGGCGGGTTGGAACTCAGCGGCCTCATTACCACTGGTATCATGACGCCTGGTTGTTGCGTTCTTGGTTCTGGTTCTCCTTCTTTTTGTGCTGGGGTTGCATGTGCTGGATTATACCGCTGTACCGATCGGGAACTCTCAGGTTGCATCCGCTGATTTCTTTCTGCGTCTGCGGATGCTGAACCATCCTGCTGTGACAAACGGGACCTTTCAGCCTCTATCCACCGAATGATCTCCTCGTTTCTAGCCCACTCTTTCGCCCGCTCCTGCACACCCACATCCGCTATCTCCTGCCGCCATTCCAAAAATTTCCCACCGGGCTCTTCAAACTTCTCCTTTCCTACAAGCGTCCGCAGTGCCCTGCGCATATCCATCACAGCATCGGCTTCAGACGGTCCGGCGCCCAAACACTCAGCAATCCAATCGCTCCTAGGAAAGGTTCCCTCGTAGTTCTTCCTGTAGATGAGAGCGACTTTCATTGCACCACCTTCTGGGAGGGGTTTGTCAAAGATGGACAGATAGCGGTTTTCAGTGATGTCGTCTTGGGGCGCTAGGATTACTGTGATGGGGTTTAGCGACGGCTGGTGAGTGTTGAGGGTGGGTGGGTAGGGAGAGGTTTGGGGGCTTGACTTACAGACGAGGGCGTTTAAGCAGTCGCTCATGTTCCAGTCACATTCTTCAGCTGGTGGTGGTAGGTCAGGTTGGTATGTTTGGGGTGCAGGGTTAGATGGGGAGGTTGAGGGTTTGTCTGGGGATCTGGATCTATTGGGCTGGCGTTCTCGTTCTTTTCCTTTGTCTTTCTTGTCGCTGGTTTTGCGGGGGTCGGACATCTGGAGGGTGTTAGTTAAGTACGTCGGGTATGTGCTGGATATGCGATATTCGCAGATTTAGTTGTCGATACGTACGATTATTTTTTGACTTTGTTGAGAATGTTGGGGTGTGTTTGTTGATTGAATAGACGTCTTTCCAATCCAAGGGGACTTTTGAATGCCGGCAGATAGTGCAGATTTCGAAGTAGTCCACCGGGTAGTGAAGTTCTCTAATGCAGCCAGGTCTTAAAGCTGCGTTTTTATACTTCTCCATGACTGTATATAATCAATGACTTGACCATAGGAGTCAAACGCAGTGTGTAACAGTGTTTTGCAGAATAGATATGCCGAAGCCAGGCGTTGGCTCCTGCTGGGCCGTAGTCGATACTCTACCATTCAGAGTCAATACGCCCTGTGAGCCTATATGACTGGCGAAATACATGGATACGGTAGGGCTTTATGACACTTTGATTCCGCACGGAGCGTCTTTGGGTTGTCTGTGCGTCTATATAAGAGTATAGTGTACCGTGAAGGAATGACTAATATTGCCACAGTTTGCACATTCATTAGGGATATCTGAAATGTTAACGATTTCAGAACCGTTCTTATTGGGTACAGTTGCTGAGCATAACAAGTCTATGTTCTTCGAGCCAGGGGGGGCCAAGGCAAGCAGCCCTGCACTAGCTTTCGTTCAATATGTCCAGGTAAGCTCGTGCTACGATATTATATTTTCTACATCGTGAATACAAAATACCAGTACCACTCTGACAGGCATCCTCGGTGACCTAGGGACACGAAATTGCAATTTTAGGAAAAGGAGTTTGAAAAGAGGCATGAGTTTTCATCCCTGAATAGAGGGGTAGTATTATACATTAAGGAATCCACAGAAAGAGGAAATGCTAACAAAGAGGTAGTAAGAAACCATCGCCCCAACATCTCATTACAATGACTACATTCGCCGTTTTATAGAGACATCCCACGGGTGCTTTTCACCCAATTTCCCTAGCCCCGTTTACACTATTAAGCTCCAAAACATGTTGAACTCTGTAATATCTCCCCAACGGCCTCCGCGGGTAGCGTGTGCATACTGACCCGTAGTAAGCACGGAGCGATGCGATTTCTACTTCTGAGGTTTCCCGTGAGGGTTCCTGATAGTAGCAAAGAGACCATTCTGGGAGCCATCTTTGCCCATATTATTGGTACTAGTCTCTTTGACGTTGGTAGGGAGTATAGCCAACGAGTTCTTCTTCGGAGCAGCGGAAATGTTATCGAGACAGGAGAGGGAGGTATGCCCCACCCTTAGGTGGCGTGTGCTTTGTTCATCTGGGGACGGTTTCGGTACTTGTAAGGAGTCGTTTTTTTGGGACTTTGGTCGTCTTTGAGTCTTTGGGGGTGCTCATTTTGAACTTATTTCTGCGCTGGTGGTTTAGTGTTGAGTTCTCTCGGTAGGTTTTATTGCGAACCTTAGGGCGTTTGGTAGTTGATAAATAGTAGCGACAATGCTCAACAGATAGATCATGCTCCTCTTTCAAATAGTGATTGCTGTTAGGGAAGAGAGGAGGGTGTGGTAGCGGCTCGCTGCTTTTTATACCCAGATGCTCACTAACTTTCGTGGACTCAGTGTGGAGGCCACATACCGTTGTCGAGAAATGAATATGACGTCTAGGTTACGGACGCGTCTCTGCTTGCCTGCAGAGTATTTCGGTCATGCCGTTGGAAAAGTCATAGAGGAAGGGACGGTGACTGTGTCGACTATACCTACGGATACTACCACGAACAAAACCATGAGTTCGGAAAATTTCGATATACAGTCATGAAAGGTCTTAGGGATTCTATGATTCATTGAGACGTCTATTGCAGGCCATCTTGTGGAATTTTGAGCTGGATCTCGAGACTGCCAAAGGCAGCTAGGGAGAAGTGCTGGACTCTTCGAGCGGTCACGCGTAGGTATTCCGGCAGACGAAGGCCAGAGAGTCATTTAGCTCGCCCAGCTTCAGTGCATGACTTGATGGTTGGTGACCCTCTCGAGTCTTCCTCTAGAAGATATGGGAGCTCTCATTCTTGAATTGTTGTCTTTAGTCGACACTATGACGCAGGATTGCCCCCTTGGTTACTAGTGGCTTGATGAGAAACCAGTGTAACCGTCATCTTTGCGCATGACCGCGCACAGTTTGAGAATTCTTGCAGTAAAACTACGGAACTGTTTGATCGAGACTCTACGATGCGGCTATGAGCACACGTCATTCGCAAGTCACAGTCTCCTGGGCGAAGACTGCGTGCAACCACCCGAACGGTTGAAATAGCCACATCCCCTACCTTGGGCGCTCCAAAATCTTACTTCCGTCTTGTCATGTGCCACTACCATTGCAACCCCACTGAAACACGAAGATTTATTCTCAGTCTAGCTGTCGGGTCGTACCTTGAGATCCTAGGATTTTGGGGTTTCTATCCAGAAAAATTGTCCTAGAAGTAACACAGTCCCAGCTTGGCCCAGCTGTCAGAAGGCCGCCAAAACATCGGTACCAGACATATGGCCTTGTGCCTGTGTCTCCGTACGTCAGGTAAGCCGTAAGTCGCAGGGTACAGAGACGAAGGAGCCGTAAGGGAGAGGTGAAGAGCATGTTGGAGGACAAGCGGTTGTGCGAGCATATGGCTAGGGTGTAGGGACGTGACTACGCGTTTACGCGCGGAATGGCGGATCCGCGATTGTCAAGCTTAACGGATCTGGTGTTATTCTGATCTCATGTTCAGGTTTAAGAGTGTAGATGGGTTGCACAAATTCCAAGAGTAAATTCATGAAGTGTCAGGGAAGTGTCAGGTCTTGGAGCGTGAGTAGACGCTTAAGGCAGCAAGCAGTGTCATGAGCTATCTTTGAAAAAGTCACATGCTCGTCAATTCAGGGAAATGCCACGAGAAGTTAAGCGATATTTCTCTAAAATAAGACATTGCCACGCTATAGAGATGTAGTACTGAATACCAACCATGAAGAAAATCTATGCGAACCCGTTACCGAGTGCAAATAGCGGACAAAACCCAGCCAAATAACACACCTAATTACCACCTCAACCTCTCCCAAACTGACGTCTTTCTTATCTCCCTGCCGTAGCTCCCTCCGGGCAACGCACTCGTACAATCTGTCAAATCACCCCCTACCCCCAGCATACTCAGCTTCGCCATGGCAGGCACAAACGCTGCCGCCCATGCAGATTGACTGACTGCAAACAGACTGAACGGTACGCCGCTCAGCAGATCCTCTGCAAGTGACTTGTCCGCTTCCAGGATAAAGGGCGCAGTGCCCCTCTTGACCTCAGCGTAGTACTCATTATTCCACTGCCCAGGCGTAGAATCCAGCGAAGCTCCAGCAGCAGCGGGATCAGTTGCGAACTGCTTGGCAGTGCTATGGGCTCCCACCAGAGCCACAAGGTCTGTAACGGAAAAGCCTTTGGCGGCAAAATGGTTCATGAGGGACTTGGCGGTGGTATTGTGCGGTGGAATTTGGCCCACTGGGCTAGCTTTATGCGAATCCTTGCGACCGATCTTGACGGGCACGGTAGGGCCGCCGCAGGTTTTAATGGCGTGGGCTGCATCTGGAGTTAATGATGCGTGTTCATGCTCTCTCGCAGAGATGACAGTGGTACTACGGCTTCCCTTATGACCGAAGAGACTGGAAGGGACTTACCTGCTGCAAACTGGATCAGGTCTGCAACTCCGACTTTCTTTTCTTTCGCCAGCTCTGCAAGACTGCCGCAAACTCGGGGGAGGCCCCTGTTTTCCGATCTCGAGCACTCATCCGCTAGGATCAGTGAACCATCGCAGGCGCCGTTGAAACTGTAACGTTTCTTAACATGGATTTCTCTGGTATGTAGGTTCAAGAATTCTATCGGTGATGTATGGTCGAGACTCACCAGTCGTGGAAAGCTGCACGTATTGCACCACGAGCGGCGTCGGTACACTGCCCGTTTGCCAGGTATTCTCTGGTCAGGGTGGCCGAGATTTCGTCCCACACGGGAGGGCAGGAAGCCCAATCGTCGCCATGTTTTGTTTCTTTTCTTCCTATCTTCCTCACAGTGTCCAACGCTTTTCTTACCCTTGAGATACCCGCCGGGTTGACTGGAGCTTTAAGAGCAGATGTAGTAGTGTACGCAGCAGTCAAGAGAATTGTAAAGGGTGTTAAGAAATGCATGGCGACACTGTTTTTAGACGTAGCAAATGATGGAAAATTATTTACTAGACAGTGTCAAATATCAACTGCGAAAATGGCGGAGTGATGGCTAGTTCTTCCTTGTCCGGATAAGGTGAAGCTGATCAGGAGAGGGATAGCTATCTTTATACTTGTTCATGGCTGTTGTACAAAGCCAGACGTTTAGAATGCAAACCAGAGGAGATGCAAGAAGCTCGTGAGTTCCCGTCTCTGGACGCCACCAATCTTTCTGAGACTCACAGGGGACTCAGACCGTAAGCTAAAATCAGAAATCCTGTCAGGGCTGAAGGAATAGTCCACGCCACGGAATGACGCTCCCAATTGGAGGCTTGGGTTAGTCTAGTCGTGGTACGGCATAATCCCAAGTGCATGCAGAGACGCCCCGTGCAGGGCAATCTTTTCTTAGCTGGCTTGAACTTGAAGGGAATTAGAGGAAGGTCAGCATGCGTGTGTGTATTTGAGGTCATGAATTTCTATTCTGTGGCCCATGACGGAGCCAGTCGCGCTTCATCCTACCACATGTAAATAGCCATCGACCATGCATTGGCATATGCTGTTTGGGGCGCTGTATTCACCCCAGTGACATGTTCTTCCTGCATCGTTAATGCACTTAGAGAGAATTCGGAACACTGAATGAAGCTTCGGGATGGGCCTTGGATGCATTGAACTTGTGTCAACTCCAGTAACTTTCGAGGCGAGAGAAGATTTAAGACACCAGTGACTGGAGGCCACGAGCCTGGGAGCATATCTCACTCCTAGAGAAGGGGCTCATATGCATCCGTGCGGATGAGAGGCTTGCCTTTGAGGGACATAAGGCTGAACAATTCTTTTGATAGAGGGAAACGATCGTCGTCTTCTGTAGCACATGTACTCAGGTGGCGCATGTCACAGGTCGGCGAGTTTGGGGATGTCAGACCATCTCAGTGGTGCTTATTCAAAATAGTGGGCAAACGCAATCTGAGTACAATTGATATAACAGATCGAGAAAGATCAAAGTGACGAACCTACGGCGTGGAAGGATTGCTCCAAGCTTTTCGGGGACCATATCCTGTTGACAAACTGTCGCTCAACAGGGTCTCCAAGTAGTAGATCCTGAACCTAGTGAAATATAACAATAGATAATCATTAGTTTATGCTGAAACACTGGGACAAACATGGCGGCCGTGGTGCATAACGCCGAAGAGGTAAGGCTGAAAAGGCTCACGAAAGATGATGGGGAGCCGAACCGCAGGACTCAAAAATATTTGTAAGATTCGTCTTTCATTTTGACCACCGTTCATGCGTGTTCAAATCAAGTTTCTCTACGGCACCACGGTAACATTAGGCAGACATTCAACTATTCGTGGCTTTTCATAATGGCAGCGGCCCAACAGGTCTCCTGAGCACTACTACCCTCTCTCTTGTACGAACTCTTCGTGGTTCCATATCTATGTATGTGGGGGTTGACTGTTACTAATATCTAAGTTGACATGAGACGTTGATAATCGACCTTTCGCCCTTGGTCACCAATTTGACCAGACCGTACAATTGTAGTCTACAACAAAACGTAGGAAGCCCTACATATAAGCATCTCAAACCAACCGTAGGCGCCTCAAATTAGAACCATTGCGTTTCCAGCTTTAAGCGCGCTACTGAAGCATATACAAACTCGAACCCTTACTCACAGCTCGTCTGCGATGTTTACGCGAACATACCTCAAGCGTTAATATCCTACTCTTACTGTCTGGCCCAGGCGCATTCTTCAACTAGACAGTGCGAGTTCCCTTTCTCTTATATCTTGCCCGCACTTTCATTTACTCTCAGACCATCTCGATCCACTCTACTTTCTCTGCGAACTCCACAGTACTCCTCGTTCCACCCGTCCTCCCCGTGCGCACCGTCCGCGCCGTCATGGCACTACCTCCACTCAGTGTCCGCCTATGCTCTCGCATTGTGCTCGTTGTACTCCCTCTCAGCGCACTTTTGCTCGGCACGGGAGGAGCCTCAATATCGAAGGTGAGATTTGAATCGGGGTCATGGTAGCGGCGAAAGAGCGAGGGAGATTGTGTATGGCTTGATTTTGATACTGCCATGGATCTTGAGGATCTTGAAGCGGTGTGGGTGGACGTAGAAGTAAACGTCGAACGGGGCGAGGACCCGGGCCGCACCGTGCATGTGGAGGTGTTGTATTGCATGCGGCATGGAAGGAGAGGTGCAAGAAGTAGCACGTTCGCGATCAGGTGAATGAGCGCAAGCTCCACACTACATGATAGGTGGCAATCAGTTACTGAAAAGGTGATGGGTGGAGAGGGACACGAAAGGGAGATATACATGCTACAGATGTACGGCCAAGGACCGTCACTCGTCATGTCGTCTTCGCTCCAGACGTTGAAAATCATTGGAATACGGGCAATAGAGGCTGCGCATGCTACGAAGCCAAGGCCAATGAGCGGAATGATTGAGACCCGCCTTGCGAAGTCAAGATTGAGGGCGCAGAAAATCGGTATGGATACAATTGCGATAAGGAGGTCGGTGGCAGCGTTGAGGGCTGTCATGCTGTTAGTTTGAGTCCCAAAATTGTGGCACGAATGGGGCGCATGACAAGGGACATTCGGAACATACAGCTATTAAAGAGAGCTATGCTGCGGTAAAATATTTGCGATATGCAATATCGTTCTCGTGAGGAGGGATCCCATGCGGCCTCCACAGGGTTGCAACGGAATATGAGGGCCACCGACCAGATCAGAGTCAATGACGACAGAGTAGCTTTTGTCCGTCTAGTCAATGTCTCTTCTTAAAGTGCATCATGTCACTGAAAGACGTACCGATCATCCCGTACACGAACACTCGATAAGCGTTACTGCGTACAATCCGCAGAAGATATACTGTCAGGGAGAGTTTGGCGAAACTGATTCCCAGCACCAAGAGCAGAGTCAGGAGCCATATCCACCGCGCCATATGGGTTGCTTTGTCTCTTTCCGAGGTTTCTGGTTTCAAATGCACTCCCAATCGCGTGAGGAAGATAGTTACGACAAGAATTCCGGTAGCGCAGAACTGTCCACCAGGTGTCAACACTATGTACTTTCAATATTAACTGTTCACCTACCGCTGCAACAGACATAAGTCCGTCATCAATTGACCAGCCTTTCCTCCCCTTGACTCTCGCGAAAATTCTGAGCAAGAAGGTCAACAGCGCGATTGAAACCAGCGTGCCTGCAATGGCAAGGAATGTAGGGCCCTTGATGAACCCCAAGAATTCTCCAGTAATCGACGGTTGCGGACGGGCGATGACTTGTCTGGCAGCAGCATGCATGATGCGAACTGACTTTGGGACTGGGTGTTGGAACCATTCGCTACTAACACGACGGCCAGTTGTTGCAACTCGTCCGAACCAGTGATATTGAGCGGGGAAGCAGTGTCGAGTTGGCCATCTCTCAGGAGGTCGCGGGTGCTACTGGTTTTGATGTGGGCGGGAACCCTGCACGACGGAAGCATCGCGGCGTTTTGAAGTTGCACAAAGGCCATAACAGCGTTCTTTGAGAGATCTCTCAAGATGACGACTGCGTTGGGGATACTGACGCCGTGTTCCCCGGAGGACGCAAACACATATACCCACCCCAATGCATGGTAGCTGGGCCGTTAGGAGACGGGGAGATATGAGCTGTTTCTCAACTATGAGAGGGCCGTAATAGAGACATACAGCCCGTGTGGCTTTCGTGTGTCTCCGCAATTTCGGGTCGACGTGCATACTCGAGCGCCACCACGCGCGTAGAAGTACTGAAGGCGAGCTCCCGGGTTGCTGGATGCCCTCAAAACGCGTACAACTATGTCATTTCCGTAACCCTTGACCAACCATCCGGAGCCGCCGAGCAGTCGTCGTTGATGATTGGCTCGATGTCATCTATCTCTTCCACCCTCAGTACCCTTTTCATCTCAAACAATCATAGGCACAGTATTCAGAGAACTTCGTTTGCCCGATCATACCTATATCTGTATCATGTGTTGCATGGGTGGGCTTTCTTTTCGGTGTGCAAATGAAAGTCGAAGATCTGCCCCTCCAAGTAGATTTCCAAGGGAAAGAACCACCCTAGGGTATCAAGGTCGCTGGGTCGGCTTCGTGCGCTGAAGAACTGTATTCCACAGTCATCATCCGACTGACCCTGCTTACGACTGATAACATCATACTAGTGGTTTGATTGTTTTGGACTCCTGGTCGACCTCGTAATACTTAGGGAGACAGAGTATGTTGAACAATGTTGGTGGGTCGTGTGCATAGTCTCCACACGCCGCTTGACCAACTGGCCTTATGGGCTGAAGGTAATTTGTGGATATCTCTCTCGCGCCTAGTAGGTTAGGAGCTCCAGAATACTCATAAGGACGATTGCACCTCCATGTGCAACGTTTTGACAGTCATTACTTTTTCGTCCCCTTGAAACAGGATCTCAACCGCCAACAACGCGGATGAACGGGGGATCTGAATGTCCTATACGCGTCATTAATCGCGTTGTGCTCGTCCATTGGAATCGCAGCGCAGCTCTGTACTCCGGCTGGAGAAGACGGCGACTCGTACTCCGTACCCTCTGTGCGACTAGTACACCAAAGCTATGATGTCCTATTAACAATTGACTTCAGTCATTGAGATGCAAAATCACGCCATCTACCGTGGCCCCGGTGGTCGAAATTGTACGAGGAGCGCTCCCGAAGCGGAAGATGTAGGTCAGCGGAATATCTCAATTTTATATCGGGATGAAGCGGCAAACTTGCACCCAGAACCCACAGATACTATGGTTGCTTGAAGATAGGAATGACTGTCCCGACTACCCCTCAACTTATGCGTCCGAAACTCATCACATGTGTCGACCCGTTGCAAAGCCACTCTCATGTATAACTTGTGGCGCAGATGATTGGAGCATTCAAGAGGGTGCAAGCAGTGAAAATGGTCCAAAGAAGTATATTCCAGGAGGATGATATCGTGGTAGAAGTTCGTTCATGAAGAGCAACAAGCAAACATCCAGGCCAAATTTAGAAGCTCGGCAATCGCTTCCCCGAGCAAGATTTGCCAAGGGATCTTGTGAAGTGTCACCAGCCACAGTGGAGAACGTTCCCCATCAAGTCGACGGCCAGACTCGCCGGTGCTGGGGACGAGCTGAGTCCTGGACTTTCATCAAATCAGCCACAGCACTCTCTTCGTGGCTCGTAATGCGAGGCTTGCATCTCATCGTCTCGAATGATGTTCCGCAAGGAGTTTAAACTGGTTCCTCGCTGGTAGCTGGTAGCTGGTAGCTGGATCCGACAGCCGACAGGGCCCTCGGACATCTTTCGTTTCGGACCCCCTTAAAACGAGCACATTTCTCTACATGCGCAAAACCCGAGCTTTTCGACTCCTACACGTCTTAACAGGATGATAGAAAACCTTTTCCTGATGATGGGGAGAATAGGTACTCAGCTCTTCTTTGGCAGACTGACGATGTTCCCAAGGGTTCTAGACCTGAGCCGCAACGCGAGCCTCAGCAACCCAACTTTCGTCAAGACCATGAGGCTTGAGGCTGAACATTACGGAGAGTACGTTTTCCACGGCCTCGTCCAGTCACGTCGCATGATTTCGAGTTTTCTAGCCTTTGAAAGGCAAGTGTACGCTCTCACTCGTTCGTTTGCCAGTTCAGCTGACCTTGGCATGCCACTGAAACCCTGTACCTTCACCTTTTCTGGCGGTGGCTGTGGTTGAAGCCCCGGGCCATCGCGCGACAATATGCGGCGGTGCTCAAAGACTTGAGTCGCATGCGAAACAATAAATGCACCCATTGCCGACGCATTTCCTGTAACTTAATTGACATCGTCCTTCCTACATTGACGCTTCAGAGTCGCCATTGCGGCTTTTGTCCCTCGTGAATCACTCCAGATGCTCTTCGATCTTCTATTATTGAGCGCCGCTGTCCTCTCTCAGAGCAGGACGGCGGCAGCTCAAAGAGGAACGCCCTGCCAAGCCGTGTCAAGCATGTCAGCCGCTTATATTTCCATGTTTCCCGAAGCGACCGAGGCCCTGGTACCAGCAGATGCCGCCGTCAACTGCCTTAAATCCATACCTGTGGATGTGGAAGAAGACAAGGCATTGATCGAAGAGATAACCCTCTTCACAAACTGGATCTCCAATCTTGGCTATCTCTCGAATCCTCCCAAGGGTTATCCAAACGAGCGAATAGACCTAAGTGGGGAGTTGAAGCGACTCCATGATGAGCTGGACAAGGGCACATACGAGGACGAATACACGTTTCAGGTCGATCTGAAAACCGCGTTTGACAGAACTTACGATTTCCATACGTTTTGGATACCCGATATTCTTAGTGTGTTTACCTTCAACCGGGGAAATATTGGCGAGGGTCTCAATGACGAGTTTGCGGTGGTGTCGGTATCTACTGATGGGAAATCCCTCCCTAAGATCTATAATTATTGTGAGTTGGGATTCCAAATCGAATCACGCATTGTACTCACGACGTTCAGATGATATCTTGGTCGCTGACAGCGAAGGCTGGACGCCATCGCCAATCGTCAAGATCAATGACCAGCCAGCTGAAGACTTCCTCAAAGATTGGTCAAAGCAGTTCCAGTACCTTGAGGATCACGCCCGCTACAACAATTTATTTCCCAACCAACCCGATCTTGCAAGAGGAATCACCAGGAACCAATTCGGCACGAATCGGATCTTTACTGGCGATACCACTAAGGTCGAGCACGAAAATGGTACCGTCCATGAGTTGATCGGCAATGCTGCTATTCCTCTGAACGCCCTGGACGGCGTAGATGATGCACAGTCGTTTTTTGACCGATTTCTGAATCTGGGGCCACCTCAAACAACCCAAGGCGGGTTAAGAAAGCGTGGAGCTGCGTGGAGGGACGAGCAGCTTCGCAAGAACGCATTGGCGACCAAGGTCAAGCGACAACTTTCCGAGCCAACGGCAACGGGATACCCAGTCCCAGTGATGCTGCATAGCGAAGCGGTAATCGGAGGCTACTATCTTAGCGGCCAAGGGTATGACAATGTTGCCGTTTTGAGTATCCCCTCGTTTCAGCCTACCAGTGACGCTGGAGTTGAGGAGTTCCAGGACCTAATCGGGCAGTTCTTGGAAAGAGCTTCGAAAGCAGGCAAGACACGTCTCGTGATTGACCTGCGTGGTAATGGTGGCGGTTTTGCGAATTTGGGATATGATCTTTTCAAACAAGTATGTACTTGCGCAAGTCTTTCCACGGCTGGGCTAACTTTTACTCTAGCTCTTTCCAGAGGAAGACCCCTGGGTCGCAACGCGCTTCAGAGCGAACGAAGCGTTTGACATTCTTGGCCAATTCCTGGAAGCCGCGCTGCAGGACGTCACCTACGAAATTGCACTTGCAGACTTCAAAACCAACGGCCTTGACGGTAACATTGCATTCGCGTACCAGACGATGTTCAACTACAAGGTCCCCCTGACCGTCGACGGCAAGAATTTTACCTCATGGGCACAGTATTTTGGTCCTCATGAGGTGAACGGGGACAAGGTCACAACTGTTGCCCGCAAAGACTTCAATAATTTCTTCTCGGATGACCTCGCCTTTGATGTTACTGGTTATGCATCGCGCGCCGGTAAACTCAAGAAGCAGTTCTTCAAAGGTGACTCCATCGTCATGCTCCAGGACGGCGGTTGTGGTTCCACCTGCGCCTTGTTCGCAGAACAAGCGAAGATGCAAGGAAAAGTGCAACAAGTCGTTGTAGGCGGTTTGCCCGAGACGGGACCAATGGAAGGCGTGGCCGGCAGCAAAGGAGCCCAAGTGCTAAACTACCTCCAGATTTGGACGACGGCAAGCCGACCTTACCAGTTTCTGCAGGATCAACAAGAGGCGCTGAACCGGACTGAGCTCGGGCGGTTGATCTTTGCGCAACGCCCCTTCTATCGCGTTGCGTGGGCGGATGCCAACACCCCGCTGGCGAATGTGAATATCCGCGATAATATCCGCAAAGGCGACGAGTCGGAGACTCCTCTCGAATTCGTCTACGAAGCTGCCGACTACAGGGTCTTCTACACTGCAGAGATGGTACGCAGCCCTGAAGCTGTTTGGAAGAAGGCTGTCGATGCACGATGGGGCGACTCAAAGCAGGTATCCGTCGAGGGGAGCACTGGTCATCCTTCCTCTCTCAGCGGTGGTCTTGCCACTTCCCCCAAGAAGAAGGGAGCGGCGTCCAATGCCACAAGCGGCCTCAACAGTGCTTTCGTAGCTGCGCTGGCTGTTATTGTGTCGGTGGTTGTAATGGTATAACGACCTGAGGAGAGGAGCGGATGAGTAAATACCCACGGAAGAAGATATATACACCTTGCATTTGATGGCGTTAGGGACAGCTTTGGATTTCGAGATATGGTAACCATGAGTTATTCCGTTGCTGAGGCTTTCCAGATTTACGTCGGCGGACTTGGGAGTAGGAATTTTATTGAAATGTACACAGTATACGGAGTAGCAAGCTTTCAAATACATCAGGGATTAGCGGCGCATAATTTAATAGCCAGTTCAAGTCAATCATATACCGACCAATACAAGTCCAACGCTCTCTCACTAACGTTGTTGCAGATCCTTGCTTGTGAGCGTTCTTCTTGGGCCAGAGGACATAGGTGGATCGAAGTCGAGGCCTGCGGCTACACGGGTGGCGATGTATGAGGAGCAGGCTTCCTGTCTATCAGATCGGAATGCATCCGAGCTGGGAGGTAAGCCGGCAGTTACGTCGTCGTGGAGCCGGTGATGCATCTGATGCTGTGATGCTCTCGAGCCATCCCTTTATCCATTCATGTCTCCCTTCGAGAGTGGGAAATTATCATTATTGAATATCAGATCGAGTATTTGCTCACTCGCCAGCTAGAAAGAAAAATCTGGAAGCTCTGATCGATAGGATCCTCAATCTTGGCATTTGCTTCGTCCCTGTCCTCATTTTAGGGCCGTGAACCGGATAATTGCTCCTTATCCCTGCTTCACCGGGCAGTGAACACAACTCCTTTCTACATATTCCCCCACAGCGAGACATCATGCAGGGTAATGACAGTGCAGCTTACAGACAAACAGTATGGCCTCTCTGAATTACCCACTTTCCGAAAGCCTAGACTGTTCATACTCTCTCGAAGAACAATCGTAACGGGCTCGGCGTAGATGCGCAATATGGAAAGCTTCCCTTACCTTCCACCCCGGTAATCCTGCAAATGCTAGGTTAAATCCACTTCCGGCAGGATATAAATATGCAGGTACCCAGAGGAGATGAGGATTCAACGCTTTGGGTCCTCGGCGTTCTCTGATCAGCAAGATGGGGTCCTTCGTGAAGCACGTCGCAGGTTATGCGCTTTTGCTCGGCAGCGTGATCGCGGCACCGGTCGCTCAGGAAGTGGAGAGCTTCATTGAAGTTGCCGTGGCGAAGTCAAACAGCTTAAGAGTTGATCTCGGGTATGGGATTTATGAGGGGAGGTTGCAGAATTCCACAGGATTGAATGTATGGAAAGGGTACGCCAACACGAATATCTCTCTCCCTGGATCGTACTAATCAGATGTCTCGTAGAATCCGGTTCGCGGCTCCACCAACCGGAAACTTGCGCTGGAAAGCTCCACAGCCGCCAGCGACAAATCGGACCGTGGTTTCGGCAACAAGCTTCGGTCCGAACTGCCCTCAGGCTTATCCTTCGAGTCCCAATCCGCCTTTCGTTCCTGGGGACGAAGATTGTTTGTTTTTGAACGTTTATGCGCCTCCTACTTTGAAGTCGCAGAAGTTGCCCGTGCTGGTGTGGATCCATGGCGGCGGTTATGGCCTTGGAGATGGGAAGCAAGATCTCAGCGAGCTCATCAACGACAATAAGAAGGCGTTCATCGGCGTGACTATTCAGTACAGGGTCCGTCCACACACTTACAGATTCGATGTTTTGGATTATACACTAACAATTCCAGCTCGGTGCCTTCGGATTCCTCTCTTCTGCAGAGGTCAAGGCCATAGGTTCACCCAATGCTGCTCTCTTGGATATGAAGTTTGCTCTCGAGTGGGTGCAAACTCACATTGCTAAGTTTGGCGGAGACAAAGAGAGAGTGACAATCTCTGGAGAGAGTGCAGGCGGTGGTGCTGTGATGCTACTCGGAATTGCCAAGGACGGCGCGCTCGGTACTACGCTTTTCCAGAATGTGAGTTTGAAGGTATACTTTTCCGGATAGGTCCATTAACGTTTTACACAGGGCATAGCTGCTTCTCCATATCTCCCACCTCAACATGACTTCAACGGTGAGAAGCCTACATTACTGTACAACGAGTTTGCCTCTCGAGCGGGTTGCGGCAACGCTTCCAACAAGCTGGATTGCCTCCGCATAAAGGACTCCATGACGCTCCAACAAATAAATGCGGAAATCGTCACCACTCAGGTCTATGGCACTTGGCCCTTCTTGCCCGTCACGGATGGTAGCTTCATTAAGCAGCGACCCACCTCAGCACTGGAGAAAAAGCTTGTGAATGGCAGGAATATTCTTGTTGGCAACAACGCTAACGAAGGCCCTCTTTTTGTGCCTAAAGGTGCCATCAATACAGTAGAGGATCTCAAGGCTTGGCTGCGGCAGGTGTTCCCGTCGCTGACTGATGCGGATGTTCACACCATCCTCGAGGCGTATGCCAGCTCGGATGCACCTGTCGATCCCAACGCGCCCAAGTTTGCGACCAACGGACTTGGCCCTGCCACCGCAGTGAACGTCAGCCAAGTTGCAACCGGCCAGCAACAACGTGCCAATGTATGTCAATATTCCCTTCGATTCTACTAAGAACTCAGCACTAACCTGTACCAAGAACATCTACGCCGAGGCAACCTTCGTCTGCCCCTCCTACTGGCTCAACACGGCCTACACCTCCAAGACCCCCTCTTCCTTCCACTATCAGTACTCGATCCCCTTCGCCTCCCACGGCGACGACGTTCCCGGCTACTTTGGGCCCGCCACCCCCAATCAAGGCCGCGACTTCGCTCTCGCCTTCCGCCAGATATGGGGCAACTTTATCACCAAGTCGAACCCAACCCTGGTTGGCGGGCCCGGAGACATCAGGTGGCCTGAATGGACGCCTGGAGAGGGAGCGTATATGATGAATCTGAACACCACGGGCGGGATGCCGTATGAGGTAGAGACCCAGTTTGGCGTTGTCACACAGTTTAAGGAGCCCGGGTTGAGGAAGTATATCATGCCCGTGAATGCTTGGACGTGGGAGGGTGGTAGGGGAAAGAGATGTGAGGTTTGGAAAGCGCTGGCGGACAAGATCTTGATTTAAGTTATTAAGACTATAGTAGGAGAAATCGATCCTGTGATTGATGGTGCCAGGTCCTGATTTATTCCGACTGTTGCCTTGTGCTGCACTGATGCATTCTTGCAATATGGCCCCGGATCTCTGAACATCTAGGTCTCTGATGCAATCGTACTGCCAGATGGAATGCCGCATATCGAACTTTCTGTTACGATAACAATAATATTAACCAGCACGTGAGTTTGAATAGTAGGCTCTCTATACAACAGGGAAAAAGTCTATAAATCGCACAGGTTTAAAATAAACCTAAGCCATCAGCACCATCATAACCCACGATCTACTAGAAGCATGCAGTCACTACACTGCTTGTGAAACTCTTGCATTCGTCCATACTTGGTGTTCATAAGTTTCTGGAGAGCTTACCAGTCATGTTCCGTATCAGAGAAAACCTGACAAAGAGAGCAACGACTTGCAAACTGCTGTTTAATTCAATTCATTGCACAAACACATGGTGTGATGGCATATGACTACTATCAACTAGAAGCAGTGATGGTATTGGTGTAAGGGGTTAGTCAGAACGCTTCTAATACTACCATTTACTGCAAAATTTGCCATTACAGAAGAAAACCCATATGAATCTTTTCCTTCCAACGAATATACTAACACTTAGAAGTTGCCTTTTTCAGACAACTGCCTAGACGTAATTGCAGTCGTCGCAGTAGCTAGAATGTGACGGTTCTAATTACAAGCACCGCACTGGAAATTACTGCTCATCAAGACACGAACACATGCGGAGGCTGGGAGTCACCCAAGTTCAGTGTATCAAACAAAGAATCAGATGAAAGGATGTGAATAGGGCCTTCGGGCTTGCAGGGCGTCTCTCGAAGAACGCTCTCCAGATTTCGCGATACCATTAGAAGTCACTTCCGCGATAGTATCATTCACTTCCGGAAGTCCCCTAAGCTGAGACTTGCCTAGTTGGATCGTACTCTATGTGTAGAGGTTCCGAGGCTAATTCTAACGCTACTAACATTTTAGGATGACTTAGCTTACAATTTGCAGGTAGATCTCTTATTAAATTAAGTTTCTTTGTTATCTGCAGTTGTTATTTCTAAATCTAGATAAAATAGTATATATAAGGAGCCTCTGCAGCCTCTATAGATAGTTAACAGGGCGATTTTTCTACTACATCTCTTATTAATTACCTAACAGTTATAAGCCTAGAGAGCACCTAAATTGCCTTTGTTTAAATACTTGTTTCTAATTAGCTAAATTTTTATTATTATTTATTACAACAAGTTGCTGTACTACCTCCTTTTATAATAGCTATCTAATTAGGACACTCTAGTACTTTAACAACAGTCTTACTATTATAGGTAATCCTTAGCAAGCTATCTAATTAGTGCAACTAGTACTATATGTAATGTATTTTTGCTAAAGAATTACTTGTTTAGGAGTACTGCAATCTAGATAGTAAAGTAGTACTTGGGAAGGCTCTTACAGCTCTTATACTACTAGAAGCTACAACTAACAATTATAAGGACTACTAGGAGGCCTAAAAGTATTACCTAATTAAGCGCACTAAGTATTAGTTAGAGACAAAGGCTATACTAAAGGTTAGATCTAATATTATCTTTATGCTAAATAAGTAGTTTCTCTACTTACTATTGTCAGATTTGATGGTATCTGAAGATGTCACGGTGACAGAAAGATTGAATGAAGATGGGTTGACTG